TCTAGATTCAGTCCCCGCAAAAAGAGTTCTGACCTTGTCAAGAACTAACCTTTCATTGCAAACTGTTTTATTTTGCCCTCAAAGTTTTCTATAGTCAAGTCATATTCAGTCTTTATCATTTCTTTTACTTAAAAATGTATACATTACACTAAGAAAACTGAATTTTTTTTGTTAATCTTTTTTTATTGGTTACTCAAAACATTAAAATGATCTTGACATATCATATATCATACATTTGATTCAAATGGGGTATGAATTCTTATTTTTACCACGAGTACAGATTGAATTTAATTGCTTTCTCCTAAGTACAATCTAGGATTTTGCTTTCTTTTGAACTTAGTTTTGAAATTACCTTTGTCTAGTAAAGTAAGTTAAAAGTTATCTACTATCAAGGCATATCTTAAAGGGTATTTTATATAAAAACCTACTCCCTAATAGTAACATTGATATGTCATCTCTTGGTCTATATTCCATAACCTTCAATAGTCTTTTATTGTACCTTCAACATAATTTTTTATATTCATTTAATATCAATTTTTAGGAACTGTTTTAGTGTCCAAGGACTAGGTCATATTAATCTAATCCCAACCAATATGGAACTTTGCACATAACAAATACCTACTACTAAAGAATAAAGCAAACTGAATATCTATTTAATTTATTATGAAAAAACTATAAGTTTTTCTACATATTGCAATATATCTAATTATATTCTGTGATCATTTCGTTCTTCTCTAGGCCTTTTCTGAAAATAACCTGTTATTCAATGTGAAAATTAATTTGTTAAGGATGTTCACATTTCTATCCAGTCATTTAAGTTTACTTTTTCATTGAAAACAACATTTTTAGAAAACACTGTGTCTCAAATTCTTTTACTTTCTTCCATATGTAAAATAATGAAAGGTTCTTCATTTTGTAAAGCTAGTAAATACAAAGAAAAATCATGATAAAACCACTCACTCCTATACAACATACTTTGCCTAGGTTTTATTAAAAAAAATGAATTCTTATTGGTTTGCTCAAAAATTATCCTTCTCCAAGTAATGAGCTTCCAATTCATTAAGCCTCCTAAATAATGTGGTTTCTAGGAAAAACTCAATTCACTTTAAATTGCAGAAGAGTGTTATAATCTACATTATTCACATCAAAATATCTCACTTTGTATATTAAATAGTCTGAGAAACATAACATTTTTTTGTTCTTTTATATTGCAAATTTTTTATGTATTTTTGGAAAATGTCTTCCTAACTTTACCCTCCCAGAACCACTTTTTAAAGATAACTTTCATTAGCCATTGATGTGTCATTCCTGATACATATATCAAAACCTTTACACATACATACACTGATGTTTGAATATGCTAGTTTACTTTCAGAGTTTTATGTTTAGCATTTATTTTGAAATTGCAGGACAATGTGCATTTCTACATATATATGAATGGTTATTGTTTTAAAATGATTACCTGAACATGATTCATATATAGTTTTTTTCTATCTTTGTTTCATGAATGAAGAAATTTAAAAGAATTTAAAAAGATAAAATTACTGTGACCTTTTCCACTTATGAAAAATAAACTAAAATTTCCCCCAACACATTCCTAAGCACTTTGGCATCTCTAAACTCTAACTGACTTAGGAGAACTGTACTTGCTGTATCTTCTTATACAGCAGAATAGAATCTATTCCAATGTAAAATTACACTGTGTTCTATATTAGCCACAGGGAATTCTTAACTGCAGTATAATCCTTTGTGGCTGGGATTTATTGCCTGCTATGTTCCATCTATGCTACTAAGAGTTGCACAGGGAGCTAAAGTTGAGAGTGTCAACAACTCTAGGTGACCTAGTTATGTCTAATTTATAGGTACTTAGCATGACTAAGGGGGACTCGGTGCATACTACAGTTGATCCAGTTTGAAAAGACTGTGACCTTTCTGTCCCAGTGCAACCATTCAATGTAGAATTAGAAGTAGAGATGGAATGGTTTTATATATCTCTCTTGAAATGTTTAGAAGAACATAATTCACTTGATTGTTTCCAAGAGTTGTGCTAGGGGCTAACAGCACAAATATTTATTCTGTTTTACTTTACAATTAAAATATATAGAACCTTTTAAAAAACATCTGTCAGTGCAAATGTTTTTAAACTATTAGTAAAGATAGAGGTCATTTAATTCAAATTATTTCCCAAAATCTTTTAAGATCTAGTCTTTTAAAATGGTCTTTTATCCTCTCGCTTGCATATTTTCAGTGATGAAGCTTGCTTGATAGGCTAGTACATTCTATTCTGTGCTACTTTGGATTAAGAGAAAACCTCTAATCGTATTGAAAGCATATGCTTTGAGTGCATTATATTCATTGTTTTTATTTCTGTTCTCTGAAACTATAATAAAGAAACTATTAGGTTTTTTTTTAATAATGCCATCTAGTTATCTGGAATTTTTTTCATCATTTTCAAATTTTATAATATATGCTCAGTGTTCAAACTTCACTTCCTCTAGTGCGCCACCATATTTGCACCTATATTTGTGTTAGGATTCAGCAGCCATTTAAGGTGCTGATATATAAAATCAGCTTTTAAACATCAAAATTTTATTACATGTTTATATTAATGTTCACACTCATTTATTATATTTGAGAGATTACATTACTTCTATAACAAATTAGAGGATTTATGTTTACTAATATAAAAAATTATCATTTTAACCTAATACTTTTAATTACTAAGATAACTTTGAGCCTTGCCTTTTGTTATTGATGTTTACATATATGTACACATATGTATTCTTTTAAGCTTTGTGATTTCACAGATTTTATACATAACATTATATTTAATTTTTAAAAGTGAAATGAGGTAGATATCAGAACAGAACTCTGTGGTATCTAACTAGAGATATTCCTCTATATATTAATTATGCCTCAATTTATTATTTCTAAATACAGTAATTCAGGCATGTACAAATAAACTATCTTTTTTTAGTGAACATAAAATATCTTTAAATTAAACAATGCATTTCTTAAATTTAGGTGCAGTTTCTACAGTATTTTTCTCATTTGTAAATGTGGCACGTGATATTTTTAATGAACTGATCCCAGTGGTCATTGGTATATTTTTAATTTGGTTTAATCCAAATATCTAATAATTTATCTTATATTCCAAAATTATTAGCTCCTATTCATGTATATGTTTGGTAGTTATCAGTTCATGAAAATTATCCTAGACTTTGAAGACTAGTGGAAAATAAAGAAATAGAATGATTGATCAATGGGTACAATGCTATTGTTTAATAGGAGGAATGAGTTTTGGTATTTTACGGCCAGAAGGGTAAATTTATTGAACAATAATGCATTGTATATCTCAACATAGTTACAAGGGATCTGAATGTACTCACCTAAAGAAATGATAAGATAAAGATAATGGAAGTTTATCTTTTTAGATATAAAAATGTAGTTTATATTCATCATATGCTTTTATGTGCTCAGTTGGTATAATACCATGTAATATTTACAGTTCTATCATATTAGTGTAATTAATATCCCTATTTTTTAGAGTTCAACAAACTCAGCATAGAGAGGTTTTCTAATTTTCCATGGATCATACAGTTAGTAGTTTCTGGAATTGGAATGAGAAGCCAAGTCATATGACTCTGATAACATCCACTCATCTGTCCTAGGAACAATGCTAGTTACTGGACATAGTGACAGCTATTGGTAGAACAAAGCCTAAGGTTTTATGAGACAAAGGACACAAACTGAACTAAATATATAAAGTATATAATACTCCAACTTGTGGATGAGAAATGCAATGTGGAAAAGTAAATAATGGCAGAGGAAGTTGAAAGGGAAAGGCAGGCTGGAGACACAGTATTTAAGATGGTACAGTCCAGATATGTTGTTGCTGGGTTTTTTTTTTGTTATTATTATTATTATTATTATTATTATTATTATTATTATTATTATTTTGGTATGAATGATAGAACCCAGGGGTGATAATGCTATCCTGATAAAACTGAATTATTTAGAGAGAGTTTTTTTTAAGCTTAAAAGACATTTGCAGTCACAAAGAAAGAAATATTTTATAGTGTTCTGCCTCTGACTCTGGATTCAAACATGGCAGGTGTTCATCCCAGCCCCACAGGGACCTGAGTCAACAAGTTCCACTTTAATGACACTTTCTCCCTTCAAAAAATTTATCATAAAAAGTAATTAGGCAAGTGAGCATATATTTATATGGAGTATGTATTGAAATATTGTAATATTATTTATAATGACAAAATGGATAGTTTTAAATCTCTCATTCTATTATTTTAAATAGCATAAATTAAGCTACAAACTTATAATGGAGTACTGTACAATTGTATAACATAACTTTATAGTAGCATTACATAAAACTGCTTTAGTAAATCTCTATTAACAAACAAGATATTTGTGTGTGTGTATGTGTGTGTGTGTATGTGATAGGTATATATTCGGAAAAGGAAAAGATGAATGAAATGAGCATGTAACTGTGTTGAGTGAGAAAGTTTGGTTGGGTTGTGAGTGATGTTTCTTCTTTTGACTATATTTTAATATTTATCAGTAAAGAGCATATATTATAATAAAAATTTACATGAACACTAATATTTACACAAACTCTTTTATCCAAGGCTTTATTTATTAATGCATTTTTATTAAAATTAGTTTACATCATTGCTTCTTTAACTTTTCTAGGGAAAAAAATTGTTTTATCACATCTCAGCATTAGTTTTATGGTTTTAAGCACCAGTAAAACCTGAAGTGTAGCACTACTTGAAGCCCTATATCTGAGATACAAAAGTAAGCAATGAAGTTATTGCAATTGTCCTCTCCAGTCTTTTGAATAATAGAAAGTCTGTCACGTTTTTAGATTATTCTAATTTGAAAATTATCAAGTATAAAAAATTGTATTGAATGAACATGTTTTGATAATGACGAGAAGTTTTGATTTCAGTTGGTTTTCACAAACTGTACCATCTACATTACAGCCACCAATGAACATCCACTCCATTGTGGTGCAAGTCCAATGCATCAACAAGAAAGTGGGCACCGTCATCTACCATGAAGTGAGAATTGTGGTGAGGGATAGGAATGACAACTCACCCACCTTCAAACATGAAAGCTACTATGCCACTGTGAACGAGGTCAGTTCCTGCCTGCTCTTTGTATCATTTTTGTTGATAGGTCAAACTAACTATATACTGTAAGTTTTTTTTTTTTTAATAAGCTATTTCTTCATAATAATAGGCCTGTTTAGAAATACTAAGAAAACATTTTTAGGAATGGTATTTAGAAGAAATGTATTATGGGTGATTTTTGATTCACATTGCTATAGGAAAAGTTCAACTGACCCCCCAATTTTTCATTTTTGATCATCTTAGAAAATTTGGTGCCTGAATCTACTATATACTTACTGAAGCAAAATAGGAGTTAGTAATTCTCATTGTATGGCAGTGGTCTAATTATTTAGAGAGACAATTTTTTAAGCTTAAAAGGTATTGTCAATCACAAAGAAAGAAATGTTTTGTAGTGTTCTACCTCTGACTCTGGATTCAAGGTGGCCGAGGTGGCTAAACTGGAATGAAATATCTGAGATTCTGTTAATTTGAAGGTACTAATATAAATAACTACTGAATTCTTCTACAAAAATGCTGACCAAATTAGCAAACACCTTAAAAGCAATCTTCTTGCTTTTATTAGAGAGGACTTTTATTATTGTTATGTGTTGTTTGGGTTGTTTGTTTGTTTTCCCCTTTAACTAAAATCCATGAGCCAAGATGTGTCTTAACTTTAAAACAAACAAACAAACAAAAAACTGTTATTAATCTATTAAGTTTTGTTTAGTTCAATAAACCAGAAAATATTTTTAAAGCACTTCTAATGTCATTTATTATTTGTACTTTAGACACGTAGAAAAATAAATGGAATTAATATGATAATCCATATTTTAGCAGGTCATTTTTATCTCCAGGTTTTTTATTTTAAAAAATACATGCCTACTTTATAGGAGAAAAATCAGTATCATTTGGTCATTAAACATACTATAAAGCCTTTAATCTTTTCATTCCCTTTGAAATTAATTAAATATATTTTAGTTCAATATTTTTCTATTCATACAAAATTGGAGAAATTATGTTTCACATTAATTTTGGGATTTCCAAAATTATATTACTTAACAAACTAAAAACTCCTATTTTAAGTGGCTTGACCAGGACAAACTTCAGGTTAGTAAATACTGAATATATTAAAGACACTTTGAACAGATTTCTGCAGTAATGACAGTTGCTAATTGATTACCCTGTAATTGGTTTTAGATACTTATAAATGGTTCCTTTTAGCATCTGAATTGCAGCCTTTAAATTAGATTTGGCTTTGTCTGCTTGAGGGTTAACTTCATTTGAATATAAATTGACAGGTGAAGTATGTTAGGCAACTCATTGGAAAAGCTGTTCTTACATCACTTTGATTGCTTCTGGATCTTTGACTATAGTTCATTTTTTCTTACAGAAACTTATAATGCTTAATTTAAATTTTAAAGCATCATTTGTTATTAGATTATTCTCACTCCCCTCTTTAACCTTTTCAGTGCCTTGTTGAAAAATAACCATTCTAATCCTGTCACTGTACTCTTCAGCAATTGTGTACTTTCTCATTATGGTCAGAAAAAATACCACTTTTTTGGCATACCTTCAAGTTCTTGAATAATATCACCATTGTCAATATGTTCTTAATTTCACATTCTCTCTGACAATGTTCTATGTATCTCAGATGGACTTCCTCATATCCCAAGTTTCCATTTCTTGGGCTTTGCTCACACTGTTCATTGAGATCTTCCCTACCTTTCAATTCTCCCATTCATCTTTTATAATTTAACTTAGGACCTATTTTCCAGAAATTATCCCTCCCTGACTTTTCATAATTATCACTCTTCAATGCCTCCAAATTTCTACCATATCTGGATAAATGACAGAATGATAACATTCATGAACAAGTTAAGCATTTTATCTTAGTATTTTGAGAAGCACAGTTTCCTTTCCAAAGCTGTTTCTATGTGGTTGAACCCATATGTTCCTTGCAATGCATTTCCCTATAGCCATTTGAAGCAATTTTATCCCATGCATACCATAATTACAACTTCTAAGATTTTGCCCATATTGTCTCATATCTATTTTTGAAAAAAAATCAAAACTGTATTTAAACCTGAAAACAATCACAAGAAAAAATAAAATTCAATTTCTCTCATCTTATATTTAGTTGAGTTGTTCTTCCATAGTGATTGTTCTTAGTTTAATTAACTTGAATTTTTACAATATGCCTATAATGTTGTCTGTAAAATAAAATTAAATGAATTGGATTTACATTTTACAAAATTGCAAGATATTTTTTATATTTTCTCATTTAGTCCAAGCTATGTAGTTAATTCAGTTAAGACTAGAAAGTTCCAAATTAAAGGGGGGGAAAAACACTTCCCAGTTTGATAGATTGTTGGTGTCAAAATATTTCACACTTTATTAAAATACAAAAAAAGACAGGTAAAAGTCATTATCACAGATTTATCAAAGAAGCTTCCAAACTTAAATTCCTGATTAGTCATTTCACTTCAGTCTGTAGGAGAAAATTGTGGAGTACTAGCCTCAATTGACTGTTAGTAAATTGGTCAGAAAATTGGGGATAATACAAATCCTTTGTTCAGTCATCCCTTCGCTATTCATTAATAAGCATCTTAGTAGGCTAGCATAACTACTTTTATGTACCTGATATTAAAAATAAATATCAGAGTTGGCATTTGTGGTATTATATGGTATTATAGCATATCAAAATTACAATCAGTACTTTTATAAACACATTAAATTCTACCCTCTTACACTCTTTGTAAACATATTATTTTATTAGTATGTCAAGAATTCACCGAAACATTATTAATTCCTTTATCTAAATGTCAAGTAAGGATTATAACAAGGTTTATAATTCCTTATTTATGAGAAAGACATAAGACATTATAAGTATTTTTATCTCTCAGGGTAATAGAAGACTCTCAATTAATTTTGGACTATTGTATCATTAAGTAATTAGACTGACTGTTTTGAAGAACAAATTACACAGTAAAATTCTGATCATTCTTAAGCCATTTGTGGAAGATAAATCTTTCCTGACAGTGATGCCTTTAATAATGCATACAACCCACCCCCCAAAAAATTATTTTTACATACTAATAAATATAAACAAGTAAAAATTCAAGCACCAGTTTAGTAAATCATTTATAGTAAACATCAGATTTTATTAAATTAAGAAGTATACTGAAAATGAAGAAATAGAGATAGTCAATATTAGCTGCCTTTCAAGATGTTTAACTAAAAGGAGAAGGAGAAATTGAGTGGTAGCCAGAAGATGAAATGAGGCTCAAGTTAGAATTTAAAGGAAGAAGAGAATAGAGGATATTTTAATACAGGCCAAATAACACATAAAAATTAACATTTCTTCCAGGTGCAATGGTGCAAGCCTGTAATCCCAGCACCTCAGGAGGCTGGGGCAGGAAGATTGCATGTTCAAAGCCAGCCTCAGCAAAATGGAGGTGCTAAGCAAATCAGTGAGAACCTGTCTGAGTAAAATACAAAAAAGGAATAGGGAAGTGGCTCAGTAGTCAAGTGTCCCTAAATTCAATTCCTGGTACCCCTCTCTACAAAAATTAACATTCCTAAAAACCAATTGTTGACTTGTTTAACATTATTTCATATGAAATTAGATATGTAAGGAAAGTACTTCAATGCAATAGAGACTATAAATGACAAAGCTACAGCTAGCTTCATAATCAATGGGAATCAACCGAAATAATTTTCTAAGACTACAAACAAAACAAGATTATACACTTTTACCACTCTTAAATTTAACATACAATTGGAAATTTTAGCCAGAAAAATCAGGCAAGAGAAAGGAATAAAGGGCCTTTAAATAAGAAAGGAAGAGATAATATTATTTCTGTTTTCAGATGACATGATTTTATATATAGAAAAACCTAAAGATACTACCAAAAAACCCTGTTAGAACTGACCAACAAATCCAGTAGGTTTGAAAGGTAAAAAATGAAAATGCAAAATCCTATAGCATTTTTATACAACATGATAAACTTGTTGGGGAAGAAATTAATACCATTTAAAATAGACACAAAAGTAATAAAATATTTAGACATAAATTCAAGGAAATTAAAATTTTAAAACCTCAATGAAAATAATTAAAGAAAACACAAAAAGAATGGAAGAACCTCATATTCTCATTGATTAGAGGTATTAATATTTTACAAATGTCCATACTACCCAAGCAATACAAAGATTCAATACAATCATAAAATATGAATAATCTTCTTCACAGTATTTGTTATATTCTGTAAATCATTTGAAACCATAAACAAATCTGAGTACCATGAGCAATCTTGACCAAAGAGAATGAAGATGCAAATGTCATAATATAGGACCTCAAAAATATTACAAACCAAAAAACATTGTATTCACATTAAAACTGACATGTAGCATAATGATAGAGAATAGAGAACCTAGAATAAATCCAAAATATACCTTGAAGAAAATATAATCTCTTTAATAGATGGTGCTGGGGGAAACAGAAATCCATACATAGAAGAATTAAACTAGACCTCGTCTCTTATTATAAAAAAAAATAAATAAATAAATTCAACTACAAATGGACCAAAGGCCTAAAGGTAACACACAATATCAAATTACAAGAAGAAAACATAAGGGAAACAATTCAAGATGTCAGTATAAGCAATGATTTTTTTTATAATATCCCCAAATCACAGGCAATAAAAGCAAAAATTGATACATGAGACTATATCAAACTAAGAATCTTCTACACAGCAAAATAAAAAAACAACACAGTGAAGAGACAACTAACATAATGTGGTAAAATGTTTGAAAACTAACTGTCAAGGTATTATTTGTAGAATATACAAGAACTGCAAAACACTCAAAATCAAAAGAAAAAAGAACAAATTAATTCAAAATTTGGGAAATAACATGAATAGCCATTTCTCAAAATAATGTATAAGAAAAATGTTCAACACCACTAATCATCAGGGAAAAATTCAAACCTTAATGAGAATATTTTTTTTTCTACTTAGAATAGCTATAGT